ATCAAGCATCCAATTCTGTTCGCGACTGCTCCATGTTCCGAGAGAGGGACTTCATAAGCTATAATTTTTCCTTCAACAAACATTCGAACATACCAGACTTACAGGTCGGCGTCAACAGCTTGCTGAATACAGAACGAGAGATAGACAACGACAATTTCGTGAGAAATTATGAAGCATTGATGAGGCCCATAATTAAAGCGGTCAATGAATGCGAAGAAGCTTTACGAGCTCATAGCCAACAAGGTACCTGGGGTCCAAAAAGCGGAAGACTTACTTGCGTTTTGGTTGCGTTGATCTTAGAACGTTGTTTAAAGCATAATAATAATAAAACGTGTGAAATTGTTTTAGCGTTAATTGCGCGTGTTTTGTTTATGTTGTTATAAACAATTTACTAAACATATTTGGAGTGACATCTCGCCGACGATGCTCGTGAAAGCTCGGTTGTTCCGATCCGCACATTTTCACGTGATCCGAACATTTTTGTTTGCCATGGGCTAGGGTACTAGGAACATGCCGCCTTGTTGTGAATAAAAGTTCCTCGCGATAGGTACTAGGAACATGCGTAATTGCGTAACTGTACTACATAGATAATCGTTATTTTTTTTCGTATAGAACATGTGTATTCGTATAACACGCCAATCGAATTAATAAACTTTATATCGATCCCGACGTGATTGGTTGATAATTTTCTGGTTTAAGGTGATTACGTATGATATAAAGTTTCGCGATCGTATGATAAATCATACAACGCGTATTAGTATCCGATTCTTTTTAGAACGAAAATGACAAGTTTATATAATGATACAGATTCACGTTCAAGTATTTCGTCTAGTGCAAGCCGTATTATCGCAACCCAGAGGTGAGTAGTTATATGTAACTGTGTTTCTATCCTTTTCTTTAATCCTAAAACCACTAAATATTATTAACATACAACACTCTCCAAAATATCTTGCTTTAGTTCTACTGTTTCAACTGCCACAACTTCTTCCCATATGCAGTCGACTACACTTCGGTTGAGCAAAAAGTCCCTTAATCAAGCCAGGGACCGTTTACTTGCGTTCCAAGAAGAAAATATGGAAGCGAACGAGGATATGATCATTATCAGGGAAAATGTGTCACCCGAAGCCTATATCAAATATTGTGAAATTGAGCGAAAGCTCCCTGTTAGCATTCGTTTGGTTGAAGGAAAAATTATAGCTTACGAAGTCCCTCTCTCGGAACATGGAGCAGTAGTGTACAGAATTGGATACTTGATATGTGCCTGGAATAATCAATTACGTGGCATAAATAAAGAGGATCTTATTGTGGGACTGAATAGTTACTATACTGCTGATCTTACTATCTGACCACGAGGACTTCCTAGACCTCCACCTGGCCAGGGATCTAACTCAAGCGGGCACCCATATCCAACACTGGTTGTTGAAGTTGGCAACAGCGAGTCTGTTCCTAGCTTACATGATCTCTCGACAGGTTACTTTTCTTCACGAACGACCGTTCAAATTTATATTGCGATCAAACTGTTTCCCATTCGTCAAGATGGCACAAGGGCAATGCTTGCACTGCGCTATCTACGTACAAATCAAGTTAATACGGTGCCGGACATTATCATATCTTTCGGTACGGCGCCTCTCCATCCGAATACAATAGGATTTCTTACGAGTATTGGTGTTCCACTTGCTAACATCGTTGGTGTCGGGTTTTCAGCAATTGCGTGTAATGCCTCTGGTATTCCGATTTATCAATTGCATATTCCTGCCATTGAACTTTTTAATGGTGCATTTGGAAGCGTCACGGCTGGGGTAGTTAATGGGTTTTATTTGGATCTATGGGAGATACAAGATTTAGTATTGAATGGGTTTTAGCAGGAACGATTATACAAGGATCAAATCTTTACAAATTTTCTTTGCATAGTTCTTTCTTGAGTTATTCTGTTTTTAATTTGTGCAACCTTGCTTATATAAGATAGTTTACTTTCCTTGATCATTATCAGCAGAGTTGGTATGGCCAATAAATCCTGAATTCTTTATTATCGCTCTTTTCAAAATTCTGCATTCACACAAAATTTTGCACATTGCGAAAACAGCGATTATAACTTGAAAACTTTGTGATAACTTCAATAACTCAGTGAATACTGGGTCTCTTCGAAACAACAAATGTGTCTACTTAGTATAACGTAGTCGCTTACTTAGCAGAAGTCAAGAAAAAAAGCTTGTTGAGTGGTTACACCAGCAATTACAGACGATTATAACGATTATGAAGTAACTTATTGAACACTAAAGATCATTTCTCCAAGGTTCTCGTGTTCTTTGATGAATAGAAAGTGAATTGATATCTAGATGATTTGATTTCTTATAGGAACTGATCATTAGTTCTGGTTAACATTAACATTGATTGGTGGGAGATCGATCATGAAGATAGGCGCATCATCAATAAAAAGCTCAAAAAGTTGGCTTTATGGATTACGGCATCCTTCTAGCGTTGGTTCATAATATTTGCCTAATTTTGCTAACCTGATCATTTAATTTTGTATTGCGATTGAGGCTTAAAATGTTATAAAATGTGATTCTTTCAGATTCCAGAAAAAGAAATTAATTAATACATACCTATCCTGAACCACAGTCTAATATCTTTGACAAACTGCAATGTTATGATTTCATGACAATCAGAATTAGTCAGGTGAATACTAATACTTGTTCGTATAATTTGTAACATGTGATATTAATATACCCGATTCTATTGGCTGACGGTGTTTTCATTTTCATTTTCAAAAGTGCTATAATAAAAAATTTATGCTGTTTACTTTCTGATGACCATATATATATAGTGATCTCAAATGGTGGGCGTCATACATCCTATTGCTGGAAAATTAGCATGTTGTGCTTGCTCCACTAAATCATATTGATATGCTTGTAATACACCCAAAATAGATTATTTATGCAATGATTACTCTAAATGTAGATCCACACACTTTTTTCCTCTTTATGAAATTACTAAGGGTATTAGTATGGCAGAATTATCAATAAATAAGGTATAGCAAAAGGTATTGAAGCAGGTGTTAATGCTGTTATTAAATCATCCAAACACCGTTGTTCAAAATGTCATGGAATCGGTCATCATTCAAATTCTTCTAGATGTCCGAAAAATAAAAAGAAAAGCAGATCCAAGAAAAAAGGTAAGGTTAATATGACTATTAATAATTCTAGTTCTGATTCCGATTCCAATTCCTCTTCTGATAATGATTCCAATTCTGGGTCTGATTCTGATAACACCTCCTCTGAAACTGAGTTTGACGTTTTATTATATTACATTGTCTGTCCGCTATATATTACTCTTTTAATTAATACTTTTAATAAACTCTTCACTCTACATTAATACATTATTATTAAATACAAAAGTGTAGTATTGATGTTAATTAATGCTATGCTATTTAAATGAGGTAATGGGTAGATAATAACAAGCTATTGCTTTCAGTCGGCATGCCAAGCAGCAAACTCTCTAACTAGCTTCAGGGACAGATCCTTCACAAGAAAATACATTCGTATTATGTGCCTTAGCACTTAGTAACTTAGTAATGGCGCACGTTTAGTGGCAGTCACATGAATTTTTCTCATCAGCCCTGACTCTCATTGGATGGCCCGTCGGTGGCGCAAAATTATGCTCATCCCTACCAAATATGTTCATTTCCCAATTATTCCGCGGTGTATGACTTTATCTCCGGGTGTTACAAAGTGCGACACTGTCTTTGTCTTTTTATTGTTAAGACATACATAAAGTTCATGCGTTCTTGCAATCATTAACAAGGACATGCGATTTGTTCTTTATTAGTTAATATACGATTAAAAGGCTAAAGGTATTTAATTCATATTTGTCTTGTGTAGCTATACTATTCTTGTAACTAACATTTGTTGTATTTGGGTCCAGATCAATATCATCTTTGTATAATACCTTTGTCTGTATTTGAGTAGTAATTACTGTTTGAGACATGTCCCCGTTACAAATATTAAGATCGAACCTTGTTAGAGCATTCTTTATCTATGCGTTCAGCGTTTGTCCTTGTAATTATTGTATCAATGATTTTGTTGCTAGTGTGTTTGTTGGATTGTTATAAAAGAGCTTCTTCCTTCTGCTAATAAAATCAAGAATATTAATACCCAACAACAATCAACGACTGCAAAACTTGATCTTCCGTCATAACTTGCTTTTACGTATTCACTAATATCAATGGCTTCTTCAAATCAAACCGCTAACATCGCCAACACTGATTACAAATTATGTTCCCATTGTTCAAGGCGCAAGACTCTGAATGAATTTGTTCGATTCTATAGAGGCAGTAAAAAAGAAATGTCAACGTGTAATGATTGTTCAGAAAAGAGGAAAGGCAAAAGACCCGAACCTGATACAGCACATGAATTTTCGGACCAACCCGAATATCATGCCAATGACACTGTTAATCTGGAAGAAATCTGTAATGATGAAGACGATGTTTCGTATGAATTAGCTGAACTAGAGGAACTCGTAACTAGACATTTCACAAACGTTGATGAGAATGAAGAAGTAAACTTTTCAGGCGTCTTTGAATTTGATGATGACTTACTTGATCGTTCACAAGTATTAACTGATGATGATCAAAACAACACTGAAGAAGACAGAATACGTGGTATAATGTATTATTTTCTCTTACCAATTGAAGCGGGATCTCGCTATTATTGGGACATCAGAAAAATATATATCCATAAAAAAAATTCAGGGCAAGCGACAGTGTATCTTGGTTGCGCTCAAAGAATAGATCGCAAGCTTGCTTGTTCAGATGGTCAATTAGCAAAAAGAATAAGCAAAGCAAGACCTCCGATTGACCGATATGCATGTGAAGGCAGGATCGTAATTAATATTAATATCAACATACATTGCGCGAAAGTAACAATCTGTCATCGAATAACTCATGAACATCCTACTTACTGTGAAAAAAAAATCCCTGAACGTGCCATAGAATGGATATCCAATAATTTAAGATGCAATCTTAGAAAAGTTGAAGTCTATAAGAGACTCTGTGAAGATGAGCTTATTGACCCAAAAACACACACTTATTGCCAAATCTATTATTGGGTATCAAAATTCGCTTCTCAACAGTATGTTATGAATGCATCAAACCAACTCTTGTCATCCTTGAATTTCTTGAAACAAGCTGAACTTATCAGTGAAGGATATAAGGTTGTGCTATATATTGAAAATGACTTTGTGTGAGCACTTGGATTTCTTACACCATTTAATACCTACATATCAAGAGACAGCATTAACGAACTTGTTATTGATTCAACATACAAAACAAACCAGGAAAAATTTGAGCTTTTTGCTGTATTGATCAATTGTGGTGGATATGGCGTTCCTCTTGCATATTTATATGTTGATACTTTCATTGCTCCAGAAAATTGCCTTCAAGACCCTAGAAATAGAATTAACTCTAGAGTAAAGGTTCTCACAGAATTCTTTTCAGCATTGAGGACTGAGGGCATCTTACCAACATTCATTCTTGTCGATAAAGATGCAGGCCAAATTGCAGCAATAAACGAGGCTTGGTCACAAAGAGCAAATATTCAGCTTTGTTTATGGCATGTCGAGCGAGCAATCGATCGTAAACTAAGAGAGAGTAAACATAAATTAAGTCAGTATACAGCACGGAGAGCAAATGAAGCTAATATGCGATTCAGTTTTATTGACATCTCTTGGATACCTGAAGGGCATGAGCATGACTCATACTCAGAAGAAAATATAAAAGAGATCCTGAAAATGGTTAAAAGACATTCATTATTACACCCGCTTATACCAATCGACAAAGAAACATTCTTTACCTCGACAGAAATCTATCATAAAAGTGTTGTTGAAACGTATACATATTGCCGGGAAAGAAATTTCATTCACTTGTGGGCATACTTATGGATCAACTGGTATAATTTGGTGGACTGGAATCTCTTTGCATGTGCATCATTTCCAAGTGCAATCCCGTTAGCGCGAACAACAATGTTAGTCGAATCACATTGGCGGGTTCTTAAGTATAATTATAAATATACGTGCAATCAGCTGCGCTTAGATCGGCTAACACAAATCCTAACGAGAGAGCTACTTCCCGATCAAATAAGCACTTGGGAAAAATTCAACAACAATCGCGCATTTCCGTCATGGTGGGGGATGTTTAAAAATGAATGGAGAAAAGTGTTAGATACGAGTGTTGAATCTAATGATAGATATTTGACAAATGTTGATACATGGATTTGTTCATGTCCTGCGTTTACCAATAATACTTACATGTTGTGTAAACACCTAGTTAAAGCGTACACAGATAGGAATCCAACATTCCCTCAATACGCAACAACGAACCGAAGACACGATTATCCATTTATCCGATTTGGCGAAACCTGTTCACGAATTGATACTGCCAATAGGCCTTGGACCGAAACAAGTCAAAATTTGTTGGATGAAATGGAGATTCCTATGGATGAAGATAATAATAATAGTGTTGAATTAAATATCTCTGCTCGTAACGAATTAATAGCATCACGGTTAGCTAGACTAGAGGAAGACAGAAAAGCATTTGAGTCTTTAGTAGCTATTGTTACAGATAATGTTCAAAACGACGATTTTTATAATGAGTACAAGAAATTAACGCAAATGTTAGTAAAAGAAACAAAGGCTTGCCAAGAAGCTTTGATGGCTAGATCGCAACAGCAAACTTGGAACCCTCCGCACAATTCAAGACTCGCTTTTCGGTTACGTTAGAGAATTTGTAGACACTTGGATCCAAGAATTTGATAAATACTGTGATATGATGTCATTATACATTAATATTTCTCTAAGACAATAAATAATGAGTATACTAGACAATAATAATAGCATTATGTTTGTAGTATACTATTATGTTCGCCAGGAGAATTTCTCATTTTAATGTCATTAAACAAATCTTAGCCTTTAACTTTTGTGATTCCTATCGTATATAATATCAAGAGTCTCGTTAATATCAATGTTCTGTGAATTATGTAGTATACTATAAATTATGCCCGGGATTATCTTGAATAAGACTGTATAGTCATGTTTGGTAGGGATAAGCATAATTTTGCGCCACCGACGGGCCATCCAATGAGAGTCAGGGCTGATGAGAAAAATTCATGTGACTGCCACTAAACGTGCGCCATTACTAAGTTACTACTCCCAACATGCGATCGTCACCAGACTTTATTAGTTGACGTCATCTAAATGCAATTAGTAAAGATCACATGCTTTTAACTGTTACACGGGTTAAAGGAAGATAATATGTTGTTTACTTCTATTGTTTGCGAACATCAATCTTATCCAGAAAATAGCTCTTTCTCTATATCCTCCGTAAATACCATGACATAGCATTTTTGATTGTTGAGTTGATTACAAAGCCTATTGAAGAATCAAGCCAATCGGTTCAATAACTGGACAAGAGTCTACGTGGGATTTTCCCTAATCAAACAATCTACTAAGCATAGAACAAAAGTTATTAAAAAGATTGTTATATTGTCACCTTAGCAAAATTATAGCATCGTTGTGTCAATTTTATTCACATACTGCAAGCAATTTGCTTTACGACAAACAAATGTTTTGTTGTTTGCTTATTAAATAAATTGCGTCCAGTGAGTGTATATTAATAAATCAAATGTGTCAACTTTCTGTCACTACACATCGCCAATATTAGCATAATTTGGATTATTTGTCTAGTGCTTCGCCGATATTTGCTTATGCGACGACGTAGATTTTGTCCTTTATTTTGTTTTTAGCCCCCAAAACGGCGCCTTTGGATTTTTAATAATATTATTATACTTATAGCTTATTACTTACGTATATCTTATAGCTTACTTGTTACTTATAGCTTATTTAGGCTTATGCAAAAGCCTACAGACAAAGATTGTTTATAAAAATTCTCGTGGTATTTTTTTCCTGCAAATCTCGCTTAATTCCGTTAGACTTTTACGCTTTTTCCATATCTGGCGTACTACTAGCATGGAAGCGAGAAGTCATTACGAGGTAAGATTTATTACGAGGAACCAATTAACAATGCAATGGTTC